TTTGGAATAACATCAAAGCTGCCTGTTTCTTCTTTTCTTTGTTTAATTCTTATTACAGAAGCATGACTTATATTTTCGCGAGAAGCAATTGTACGACTTGGTAAACCTTCTTGGATAAGTGCAAAAATACGTTCCCTTTGGTGAAGTGGAATCGCTTTCATAATATATTTTTAAAAAAAAACAAAAGAAAGGCGTACAAATTGATCTACTGATTTATATGTATAAGACGCGTCACACGATCATAACTTTATTATATTAATTTTGATTCCAAAAGTATAATTATTCAGGTATCACGATCTAAAAATTAAAAATGAAGTGGTACAATAATTATGGAAGTCACTGTATATCTAGCTTCTGTCTAATTTCTTTCTGGCGTTTCTTCTATCTAGTGTTTCTCCATCTAAACTTTAAAATATATACCTATATATGTTTATCGCGCCAAATAGTTATTATTTTCATCTAGTGTTAAAAAACTTTGGTTAGGAAATATTTAATATATTTTTAAATAAAACAGAAATAATTTTTGCGTGTGTATATATCGTCTTATGGTGTCTATAGTTGAAGGTCGAAAGTTGTGATGAACAAAATAAACTTTATAAACGTGTGGAAATATATTCGCGAGAAATAAACTATTTGTTGATCATCATCACCTGATTTAATGGGGGTGGCTAAAGTCGGGTTCGATCACGATATTTTGGCCAGAATTACGGCATTAAGGTGATAGTCCCGGTGACAAATAATTTGTTACAAATAAGAAATCGCTTACGAAAAAATTCCGTCCCCAGAATACTTAGTAAAAATGACTCGTGTAACGTAAATTTTAACAAAGTAAATGAGCGGGTAAACATTTTTATGACTTGTTAAATTTATTTATTTATTATTTTCAAATCACAAATCTTATTTTAAAGAAATAATTGAAATAATTGAAATAATAACAGTTACCAAAAAAAAAAAAAAAAACCGGAATTTCTAAATATTACGTAATTCGTCCAAAAAAAAATCACCGGAAAATTTCCAAGGATCACATGTAACAACTAAAAAGCTAACTACTGTCAAAAAATAAGTAAAAATGTGTCAATAATAATTGGAGGAAAAAAATTTTTTTTTCCAAAATAAAACAAGCCTTTTAACCCTTCCGAAATAGGAAAAAACAAGTTCATTTTGCTTTTGTCGAATAATGAATGCTGAAATTTACGTCTTATTCCAGAGATGATTAGCGGCTTCAGCAAGAAATGATCCAAAGCATACAAGCCGCAACGCAGTGAGTTTCTCCATAAAATAATCCAAAAATCATAATTAGCCTAAACAATCCTGACTTAGAATCCAATGGAAAATCTTAAGGCAATTGATTGTTAGAACGCCGAATGTCAAAAAAAATTTCAGATTTATGACGGAGGAATAAAATGCATTTCCAGAAACTGTTTTGTTAAATCTCTCGGTTCGATGAAGTGAAGTTGTGAGCTTTTTATAGAGTAATGAGTAATGGCAAAAAAAAAAACACTATTAAAAAATTTGCCACCTTTCAGCTTTAAGATAAAAGAATTTTTCTTTCAATTTAGCGTAGTAATCATGACTGCAATGACAGTTGTTAATTTTTTTTTGTAATGAAAACTACAACCCTCGCATTTCTATATTAATTTTAACACTATGGTCAAGAAAACCACAGCATTATGCTATATCGAGATAAACCTTCTTAGTTTTGAGCCAATCATATTTAAGAGAGGGACAAATCATCCTCATTGCTTAAATAATTATAATTAGGAATCTGTAAAAACTTCATTGAATTCAGAGAAATTTAAATTATATGAAAATATTTAAAAGTCATTTGATCCTCACCTTTTATAAGCACAATTAATTAGAATCGGAGAATTAAAAATTTTCATGTGAAAAGATTTAGCGCCGATCTTAAAGGAAAGAAATATATATATATATTTATATATTTATTTATTTATAATAATTAGTTACTTTATTTTCTTCTAATAAAACTTCTTAACACGAATTTTTTGTAAGCAGAATATCACGAAATTTCGCATCTTGACCATTTTTTTTTAATAAAATTTTATTGTCGCGAAAATATATTTCACCCTTTTTTCAAAACTTTTTTAAATCTAATAATTTTTTATTATAATTATTAAATAAAATTCCACCGCCGATTCGAATTGATCTGAATTATCCGATTTTTTTTCATTTTTTTGTGATTCGAATGATTCGAATAATCCGAATTAATTCGAACTTTAAATTTAACTTAATATGAATATTCGAAGAAAATTTGTCATTCAACTTTTTATTATTATTCTTTGAATTGATCTATGACCAAACAATTTTTTTTTTTAGAGTAATTTACTGATCATCTGCATAATAAGGGTTTCCCGATGCAGGAATTGTGTGACAAACACATGGAAGGATACGGTATAGACCCTGACCAAAATAAAATATAAATATTCAAGTTGAACCAAAACTCCTATTTTTGTAACATTACAAAAAATTCATTCATATGATGGATGTTGATACCTTCAATTGGTATCAAAAGACGGCGGAAAATGAGAATGAAATAGCGCAATATAACCTGGCACAATCATATAAGAAGGGTAGAGGTACGGAGAAGAATTTAGAGAAAGCCTTTTATTGGTATCAAAGAGCGGCAGAAAACGGGTATGATTTTGCACAAAATAATCTTGCGCTTTCATATGAAAAAGGTGAAGGAACTGAAAAGGATTTAGAAAAAGCATTTTACTGGTACGAAAAGGCAGCGGAAAATGGATTCGAATTTGCGCAAAATAACCTTGGTTGCTTATATAAAAATGGTGAAGGGACGGAAAAGGATTTAGATAAAGCCATTTATTGGTATCAAAGAGCTGCGGAAAATGGATACGGATTTGCACAATATAACCTTGCTCTCTTGTACAAAAAAGGTGAAGGAATAGCGAAGGATTTGGACAAGGCCTTTTATTGGTATCATAAGGCGGCGGAAAATGAACATAAAACCGCGCAATATAATCTTGGTTATTTGTATAAAAAGGGCGAAGAAACGGAAAAGGACTTGATGAAGGCCTTTTATTGGTACCGTAAAGCGGCTCATAATGGACATAAAATTGCACAAAATAATCTCGGTTGTTTGTATGAAAAAGGGGAAGGAACTGGTAAGGATTTGGCAATGGCATTTCATTGGTATCAAAAGGCGGCGGAAAAAGGATATAAGGTTGCACAATATAACCTAGGGGAATGTTATGAGTTGGGGAATGGCGTCATAAAAGATGAGTTCAAAGCATTTGATTATTATCAAAAGTCCGCCAATCAAGGAGATTTAAGTGCGAAGTTTCAGCTCGGATATTGCTATATAAATGGAATTGGAACAGAGGTCGATAAAGAGAAAGGATTTGGACTTTATGATGAGGCGGCTGGAAAGAAAGATGGTAACGATGATAAATTAATAAAAGATTTGGAAGTGGCCAATTATTGGTATCATCAAGCTGCAGAAGATGATAACAAGGTTGCATTATATAAATTGGGTGAACTTTATGAGATTGGAAAGGGTGTTTGTAAAAATTATGTTAGAGCGTTTGAATTTTATAAGGAATCGGCCAATAAAGGATGTTTGGAAGCACAATATGAGGTCGGATACTTTTATGAACATGGATTTGTAGTGGATGTTGATAAAGAGAAGGCATTGGAATGGTACGAAATAGCTGCTGAAGGAGGAAATGTTGATGCACAAAATAGGCTTGCATGCCTACAAGAGATTAATCAAAGTTGTGGAAGTTCGGATTGATTTATTTTTTTTCGCGCTGTTGAATGAATGTACGCTCCCAAAGCAGATAATCGTGAGCTTTTTTTCCATTGTTTTCAAAATTTTTTTTTTTTGAATAGTAGCAATAATTTTATCATATTCATAAAGATAATTTTTGATTATTAGTTTTTAAGAAAGAGCCTTGGATAATATCTTTGCAATTAGATATAAAGGTGTCTCAAATGTATTTGGTACTGTAACCGTATCCTTGATATATAATTTGACGGTTGAAATTTTCATTAAAAATAATAGTGTAATAAAACATAATTATTACCCAATTATTTAACTCGTCTTTCTTAAAAAAAAAAAATGTTCTCATTTTATTTATTGCTAGCAACATGTGAGTGCGTAACAAAAAATTCTTCCACCGTACAACCGTGGTTTACAAATTCAAAAATTATAATCAAAGTGAAGTATCAGTTTTGTTTTTCTTGTTTCTCATAACCCGAGCGTGTCAATTTTTAATTTTTTCATGATATTTACTGAATTAAATTTTACACGTTCATAAAAGAAACCCTCTATTGTTAGATTTGATTCAGTAAATCAGTAATTAATAGTATTTTAATAGTTACATTTTATAGTAATCTTATTCTCTTACCGGAGGGTTAGTTGCTAAGGTTAAGGGGAAAATGGCAATTAATTTGTCTCGAGAGAGAGAGAGATTTTTTTAAACCAATTTGTACAAAGACTTTTCCTATAGCTTTCTAAAATTAAATGAATTATGGGTTGAGATTATAAACAGTAATAATATTAAAATATAATTGATTCTATGAACTTGCTGGTAGATTCGATTCGATATCGAAATTATTTTATTTATAAAAAAAAAAATTTTAATATATGGTGTATCAATAGCTTGCTTTATTATTATGTTCTATGTATATAAAAAGTTAGTAATAAAAAAGTATAATAGGGTCTACTATTCATTACTTTATAAATGGGGATACAAAATTATAAGAATCAAAAGAGAGATTACAAATCATTAAGTACTAGATATTTAAGCGGTTAAATAAAGGGAGACATTGATATATATTTCTCTCACGAGTTTTTATATATGATTTGAGAAAATAATATTTTAATTCGAAGAAAATAAAATGAAAAAGTCTTAAATCGTTATTTTTCTAATCAAAGTACTATGGAAAATCAACAGGCAATTAAGTGTTAAGGATATAACGATCACGGCATTATACTTAATTGCAAAGGTAAAATACAGTATCTGTATGGAAAAATAATAAGTTAATCCACTTTCGAATGATTTTTTTTTTTTTTTTTTTTTTTTTAAAGAAATAAAATAATTACCTGAATAATTAATTGTGGAATATCTTGAAAAACATATTTACTCCAATAGGAACGTTGATCAACATTACTTACAATTGCATTCCAATCCTTTATTAGTTTAAAGGATTCAGTATCAATGAATAATCCAAGCGTTGTAAATATAATTTTGTCCAAAGTTCCTGTACCCGGTGCTGCTGTTGCATTGACTAATTTACACGCGAATACAAAGTTGAGGAAACTTGAACAAACGATGACTGTAACGCTAATAACAATAATAAAATGTAAATATTATGTGTGAAAATTAAAAAAAAATAAAAATAAAAATTGAATCTTTTTTTTACCTTACAGCGAAAATTGGATAAAAATCATAACTATAAGTCGCAATAAACCATACATCAAATATATAATCCAATGTTGCCAAAGAAATCTTAATCGCGACAAAAATACTATTTTGCTGTCCTAACTAATGATTTGTTAAACATAAACATAATTAATTTATAGTGCAAGCGTAACTTGACGCAACTAAAAAAAGTTCTATAATGTTTATTACCTTTGAACAGCATGCATAAAAGGTTAGGCATAAAAGAATTCCAAAGGAGGCTGCAAGAAAACTGATTTCAGCTTTATAACTTCCAGAAACAGATTCTAATAAATATAAATAAAATCTGTAAATTTTTTTTTTTTTAAAATAAAAACAAAAATGTGAACCAGTTCATTAATTTGTCTCACTTCTAATAATGCTTCCGAATTCTTCATCGAGCATGTTTGTTGATTCAAAACGGGATATCCCTGTTATCCCTTTATTTTTAATCAGAGTATTTAAATCCCTGATAATCATTCTTCCGTTTAATTTAAATGGATCATCTCGCTGTCGAATCTTGATGGAAATAAGAAGTTTATTGTTTCCACCATGACTTTGAGTCTCTTGAATTGGAATGAATCTCGTTGGTTCTGTCGGAATAGTTTTTGTTAAATCTATTGACATTTGATTTAAAAATGCGGCTTTATCCTCCTGAGTTAAATTTTTGAAACGAGTAGAAGCTTTTTCTGTAAGTCCAAGCACGACATCAACGGAATCCGCGTATTCATCCAATTTAAATTCTTTTTTTTTTTTCAAAATAGAAAAATATTTTAAAATAATTAATACGCATAAAATACCCTTAATAAATACATGAGATTCAAATAAATTCTTGTTCTTGTTACCAGTTGTGAAATTCCAATATCCTGCTTGTAGTCCTATAGGTGCTAGCCTAGTTAGCTTATTCACAAAAAATTCGTGGGAAAGTTCCACAGTATACGTTGTGTTTGGTATATTGAAATTCGAATCAAGCATTTTGATAGTAACCGATTTATGGTCATCTCCAAGAATGCAATTTGGATGTAATCCGGGATGACTTTGTTTCAAAACCAATTCTGAATCTTGATATTGAAAGATCGTAATGTTTCCATTCGATAAAACGATCTCGTTTTTGAAAAAAATTGTAATGCTTGCTTTTCTTAGAGGAATTTTAGGATCATTATTTGGAGGATCTGTGGAAAGAATGTTCGGATTTTTATACGGTACTAATTAAAAAAGAAAGGATTGAAAATTAATATTATCATTGTATGCAAATAGCGATAATTCGATAAATAGTTACCAAGTTCAACGAAATTATTTAAAGGTTTTGATTCTATTATCCAAATTGGATCATTTGGTTTTTGATTTAATGAAGTAAGGGTATTATTATTTAATATTCCATAGCGCCTTCCTAAAGCTGGTTTCGCTATTGGATTACCAAATGGCCAAGGTCCACGTAGTTTAGCTTCACTATCAAACATGTAACCATAAAGGTCCTCAAATGTTTCATTGAGTTCATTGTATCGATGGAGGATTAAGAGATATCCTAAAAGGTATTAGTTGCGAAATTTGAAATTTAAGTTAAATGAAATAGGTAAATAAATTCGATAAAAAACGTAAGTTTATCACCTCCATAATGCAAACTTTCCATATATATTTCGTGTACGTTAAGCGAGTTTATCTCATTCTATAAAATAGATAAAAGTAGGATGTCAGAAAAAAGTTTACTTATATTGACATATCACATTTGTCCTTACATTTTCATAAGTTTTATCAACTGTTTTTGAACTAAATAAAATTTATTAATAACGTAAATATATTAATTTTTTATTTTTTAAGGAAAAAGAAAGAAATTTAATCAAATTCCAAATACCCGTCAACCGTGAACGTGATTTTCGTAAGAAAATGGCTTCTTTCGGTAAGATTAGTCCTCACCACTAGG